ATTTTTTTCAGTCATAAGAGTCAGAAACACCATGCTAAGTCCAATACATTGGATTAAATGATGCATCCAAATGGTGATATTAGAACATCTCCATTTATATAGTACACCTGGCAAGTCCCATAAAAAAGTTATTAGCTTTTGAGAAAGGTATGTGCGTATTATACAAAACACTTTCATTCACATTCCTATTGAAAACATTGCTGGTTTGACATTGCAAATACACAGCAGTTCTTCCAAGTCCCTTCTCATTCTGAATGAGGCAGTGAGAACCTGCTATTGTGTATGACTGTTCATTTAACTGTAAATGGATTATAATACCCATTTTTACTTACCTTGAAAGAAATGAAAGGAAAAAAATGATAAAAGACAAAACTGGTAACATCCCCAAGAGAATCTAGTAAATCATGTAAAGAATATTTTGACAATATGTACTTCATATATTTCCAAAATATACTTCTCCCTTCACTCTGGTCAATATATAAGTTGTATTTCAAAACTTTACATTGTTGATATGTAAATATTTTATTTAAAGTGCTCTTTATAGTGATGTTCTGTTAAATCTTACAAACAACAAAAAGATGCTTCTTAAATATTCCAGGCTAAACACAATAATTCCTTTTCTTAGGAAAATCTTTAAAAGTTTAGTTAATTCAAGATGTGCTTAGAAAAAGATAAATGCAACATGCGATTATAGCAAACTTATCAATCCAATGTGATGACTAATTTGTGGTATTTTTATTAATTTTCTATGGAAAACATTTTTGTTTTGCTTTCTTACACAAAAGGTCTTTATTATAAAATGGTTAGTAGGCTTTCCATGGCAAATGTTTAGGTCTGTTGGATGAAGATGTCAGTGAAAAGTAATACAGTCTCTTGTGTATAACCCGAATATCAGCAGAAGACTACATACACAAAAAGACTTTTTCATTGTGTATTTTGTGTCAAGAATTTTATTCCTCTGAATATGTCATACAAGAATTGTTCCCAAGTAACAGAAAAACATAGTGTGCAAAGGCAGCCACCAACATTTGTTAAAAGTTCTTGTTCTACAATTTAAAGTTTTGATATATATTAAGTAGATATCACAGAAACAGTAGAAGACAATTAAGTTGCCCTGGTGTTTGGTTGTGGTTGTAACTTGCCTTATGTATATTTCCCAAATGGACCTAAAAGAAAGGAATGCAAAATAATGCTTATGACATCAATGTGTTTGGATGCATCACTTAGCAGCCACCAGGGTGCCTACCTCCTCTGATTAGAATTGTTTACAGGTTCTTTTAATTAAATAGAAAGCTGGCACACTGCAAAACAAAGTAATTGCCTCTACCTTAATATGATTTACAAGAATGACTCTGGATTCACATAGACCAGAGATATGTTTAGGAGGGGGGAATGGATTATTTGAGCCAGTCCTTTGTTTGCAAGTCTGCCTGACTGTCCAGAAAAAAAAGGGAAAAGAGAGAAGGTAAAAAGCATTTTGAGGAAAGAGTGTGGGAAGAAATTTTACGTTTCCTCTATGACAGAGTGTTTTATTGTTCACCTGCCATCAAGAGAGTCACTATGTGAGAACATTGATCAACATGCTCTCATTATTTGAAATGATGGTCTATGCCTGGCTAAATTGTTGATATTGATGAATCTTTATTGGTATTATTAATATAAACACCTCTGAGGGAAATTTTAAAGGGAGTTTGTACCTGACAAAACCTTAGCTTTTAAGGGAAAACACCATCAGCTGGTTTGCTAGATATAGGCAATGTCTCTGCACTCTTCTAAAATAGCAGTGATCTTTTCCTGTAATTAATTTTGAAAAATATTTTCCAAACAAATAATAGTCTGATGGCTGAACACAATTTTATGATGCTTTATGCAGTTGCTGGTAATATTTATGATGCTTATACAATTGAATAGATTTCATACCTCCTTGCAATTGTCCATATTCTACTCGGATGCTTCCAGCAATTAAAAATTGATATATTATGTAATATGTATAAATTGGATTACTGAAGAACCAAGGTATTAGTCTATGTCCATATTAGTATATAAATATTATGAAAACCACACAAAATAGTTATAAATCTTTAAAATGTCTTTAACCATGGCTGTTTGACTTCTATTTGAATTTACTCTCTAAGATGTTGATAATAGGAAGATAGAGAGTAAAGGTAAGAAAAAATGAATAACTTAACCTTTGACATCTTTTTTCATTGTTGCCAGGTCTCATATGCAGGCATTCTTTAAAACAAAATAGCAGCTCTCTAGTTTAAAATTGTCTTTTAAAGTTGTTACTTAAGACTTGGCTAGGGTGCCAAAATATTCTTTCTTTTAAAAAGAAAAAATGACTAAAAGCATTTTGTATATTGTATACCAAAGAGGTATATGTGAAAGAGGCAAGTGCAGTGTAACAATAATGAATTGGAAATGAAGTTCTAAGTTGAATTTTTGGCAATACAATTTAAAGAAAAATCTAAGGCATGCAAACAAACATTCTTTAAGCTCATGATCAGGCCAACTTTCCAAGCAATGTTCTCTTCTTTTAAGAGAACTGTTCTAAACTTTTCTATAAGTGTTATTTTGATGAAGCAGTTGTTACAGACTTTGTTACTGAAAGATCTTCTGTGTTAGTTTGCTTGTCACTTTTATGAAGAGCAGCTGCCAGTTCTGGGAACTGAGAGAAATAATTCCTTGCAAGCATTTGTTTGTGCCTTACTCGGTGAATGAACACCTTCTCATAAGCCTGAAAGAAAAGAAAAATAGAAAATGTTTTGATTGGTTATATATTGGCATAGCAAATTCTTAAACTATGAATGGTATTAATTTTTAAATAAAAAAACTAATAATCATTTTGTGTTTTTAAAAAGATAACCCATAGGTTGATTAGCTCAGAGATGCAATGCCATTTACAGTGAACTACTGCAGATGTTAACAAATAGGTACAAGTTATTAGGTTGTGATTAATTCCTGCTCAGTTCTTTAAAATGATTGATTTGGAATCCCAAAGGTGCTGTTGTGTTTTTTTCCCTTGAAAACGTTTCCCTTCTCATCCAAGAAGCTTCTTTAGTTCTCCAGAACTGAAGAAGCATCTTGGATGAGAAGTGAAATGTTTTCAAACCTTTTCAGTTCAGTACTCCTTGTCAAATCCGACTCGACTCCATAGTTGCACCTGTTGTTGCTTGTAGTTTGCCA